ATTTTCTGATAAAGGAATTGTAGCTCAGAAATAAGATGAACAAGAACTCCTAGCTCCTCAGCAAGTATTTTTCTCAGGGACACTGTGTAAGAGGAAGACATGTCTCCTTCTGTCCTAACATGGGATCTTAGTGCTGGTGAGTGTTATGGTTAGACCACCATGGTGGCCTTCAGTAAAAGTGACTTGCAGAGCACTTGCTGCATCAGGCTGTTCTCTTGTGTTTGGTTTGTAGAGGGATTGAGATTCAGGTGTACGATTCAAATAAAACTCGCTCGGTAGAGCAGCACATGTTGCTCCTTTATGTCTGCACCTCAGACCTTATGCTCTCAGGTTTCCTGGTGCATATGAGACACGCCTGTGCATGTGCAGGCACATCTCATGTGCACATGTATTTATGCATTGGCTGCATAAGGAGTGGGGCACACAGTGAACTCTGAGTTATCTTATCAATGCGGAGTCGTAGGTTTGAAGTGACTTGTCTTGAGCGGTGTGAGCTAAACAGCTATGCCTTTGGCAGACTTCTCTTCACTTTCTGTGCAAAGCTGCATTTAAATATTTTATCCCATCCTGCCAGGCTCCGCCAGGAGCCCAGAGGTCATTGCTGGGTTAGCTGTTAAGAGGCATACATCAAGCTGCCCTCTTTTACTTCCTGTGGGGAAGAGACTCAATAAGAAGTGTCCTATACCCGAGGGTCCTCAGCAGAAAGGCTTGGGTGGAGGTGGGCAAGGGGCCTTCGATCTCCTCATTCTGGGCACTTATTTCCAGTCAACGTGATCATGCACACACAGGAGGGCCAGGTCTCTGCCCCTCTCTCTTCTCTGGTTAATCTACTCCTGACCTAAGCAGGAATCCAGGCACTTTGGCTCCTAAGGAGACAACTCACTATGACAATGGTGTGTCTAAGTCTCTGACGTGTTTAGTGTCCTGCAAGGTCAGCAGTAGTAGAGCCTTATGATGGGCTGTGGTGTCTCTTTGCAGGAGGATCACAGGGAGGAGTTAGACATGATAAAGAAAATCTGTCTTTAACTATTGAGGTAACACGGTGCAGATGCATCATTTGCATTCAGCTGTTAAGAAAAATGAAGTCATGGCGCTTGCAAGAAAATGGACAGTGTATGTGCATGTGTGCACGCATATGCATATGGGTGTATTTCGGTGTGTGTTCTTACGGACATATGTGCATGATGTGTGTGCACAGGCGCGTGAGTGTTCATACGTGTACATGTGGGTGTATGTGTGTGTGTGCATATGTATATGTGTGTGTGTGTGTTCATAAGTTCATGTGTGTGTTCATATGAGTGCAGGTGTGGGTCTATATGTTGAAACTAGAAAAGTCTCCATGGCAAGGGAAGGAGAAATCTTAGTGGGGGGAGAGAAACTAATAGTATGTCTGCAGCAGCTGAGAAGAGCACTTCCTGCTGACAGTCATCCAAAGTGAGACCACACACACACACACACACACACACACACACACTTGCTGAAGGACATACTTTAGCAAAAAGGGGAAGCAAGGCTGGATGGGACAAATTGTCAGAAGAAAAGCAATGATAGTGTTTGTACAAAGTAAATCATGTTGGTATATTATTATATTAATGTTTTAATCATTTAAAAACCTGATGGATTAAAAGTTCTGGACAATAACAGTGTGGATTTGGCTGAGGGAATTGTCAAGAAAACAAGGCTCTGGCTTTTACTTGGAAGGGAGTATTATGGAAATTGACTGGCTTTGTACCTTGTTAGCAAACTACAAAAGGTGTGAGAAAAAAACATCACTAAAAGAATTGAATGGAAAATAAGATTCCTAAACACACAGAAGAGAGGGATTGAAAAGACGACAATTAACAAGAGGCAGGAAAGGAAAAATAAAATGGAATTGCTAAATAGAGAAGACGCGTTAAAATACATATAAGTAACTGCAACAAATGGAGACTGATTAGTCCTGCTTCTTGAAAGACACAGAAGTGGGACCTGAGAAAATACTGCTATGTGCAATTTATGAGACACATTCACATTAAAGGTTGAAGATAAAATCACGGAAGAGTGTATTCCAGGAAGGCATAAATTAATTAAAATTAATGTAGCTATTTTAACTAGGCTGAAGGAGACTTCTACAGATAAACATACCATAATGAGAGAAATTATGGACAAGAGAGGACTGTCCTGGCTAGTTTTATGCCAACTTGACACAAGCTAGAGTCATCAGAAAGAAAGGCGAATCCATTGAGAAAATGCCTCCATAAGACCCAGCTGTAGAGCATTTTCTTAATTAGGGATTGTGGGTAGTACCATCCCTGGACTGGTGATCCTGGTTCTATAAGAAAACAGGCTGAGCAAGCCATGGGGAGCAACCCATTAAGCAGCACTCCTCCATGGCTTCTGCATCAGCTCCTGCCTCCAGGTTCCTGCCCTGCTTGAGTTCCTGTCCTGACTTCCTTTGATGATGAACAGTGATGTCCTCCCTAACTTGATTTGGTCATGGTGTTTCATCACAGCCACAGGAACCCCAATGAAGACAGGGACAACAAAATAACTTCTCGGTAACCTGGCATAATTACAACCTCACGTCCATTTTTTTTTTTTTTGTCATCTTGTAAAATCTATGACAAACTGGAAAGAACTACAAGTAGAAATTAAAAGTCAGTAGTCATAGTGGGAGTTACTACAGTGCTTCCTCAGGAGCTGATAGACGATGGATGAAGTCAGAGATGATGTGAAGAAAACCGTCAACCTCGATCACACCCCGAACACGAGAGCAACAACTAGAAAATGAACATACTCCTAAGTTTAAAATATTATTTATTAACTGAGCAAAAATGAACTTCCCATAAACACAAATAATTTATACAGAAAATACCTTAGAAGGTGGGATTGAGAAAGTGGGGACCATTTGGCCCCCCTTGTTCCTCTTGCTGACGTGGCTCCGTCGAATAAACCTCTTGTTTTTCTGCTTTGGAAACAAAGAGACATCTTTGATGACAGTATCCCAATAAAATTACATGTGTGAAGCTATGTCTGCCACCCCCAACCATCCCTCTGAAAATCGGACTTGGATTATCTCAGGATGATAGCTCTCACACTGTGAGGTCATTTGCCACACGAAGGTCCTAGGGAGCCTTGGCAGTTGTCAATGGTCACTTTGTGTTGGTAGATTTGACTTCAATCTTCCGTACGTCTCGATTTGGTGATGGCCTTTCCACTGTTCATGGTTGATATCTAGTATAAACACGGTCACACATGTATATCTGTCTGTAGTCATACTTGCAGTACAAAATGCAATTGTTATGGTGACAGCTATAAACTATATTTTCAATATAAATCAAGCAAAAAAGAAAACAAAACAAAAAACCTAACATATTTTGTAGTAAAGAACAGCCGGTACATGATAGTAGCTAAGGACAGCTCAGCACCTAAAATCCTATGTTAAAAAGTGAGCATTTGGAGGGGGAGACGACTCGGTTAGTCAAGTGTTGGTTTTACACTCTGAGGACCCGAGTTCAGTCCCTCAGAACCCTTTCAAGAAGGAGGCCCGTGATGTGTGCCTGTACCCCCAGCACTGAGGAGATAGAGACAGGACATGTCTCAGTGAGTAAAGGCACCTGCTGTGTAGTGTGAAGATCTGAACTGGATTCCTGTGACCCAGGTGGGAGGAAGATAGATGAATCCCCTAAGTTGTCCTCACATGTGTGCTATGGCCCATACCTGCTCTTCCCCCATCACACATGGCACATATAAACAATAAATAAGTGTAAAAAAAAAAGTAAGGTGGAGAACGGTTTAGGAAAACACCATATGTTTCTCTCTGGCCTCTGCACACAGGTGCATGTATGTATAAATACATGATAAAATGTAAAAAAAACCTGAATAATCAATCAACTCATATTAAAATAATTTGACAGCAAGCGACTCAATAATCTCAAATAAAGTATAAGGCAGGCAAAAATAAATAAAAGTTAAAAAGTGCAGACTAAAATATGAACAGGGAGTGCTTAGAAGTTAGTTCTTCCAAAAATTAAAAAACCATTGATTTCAAAAAGAAAGGGAAAATAATGCAAATCAACATAGAAGCACACAACTGCATCCTGCACAGAACTGAAAACCGATGGGTATACCGAAGGGAGCCGAGGGACCATGGGCCTCTTTGGTTGGCTTGGTGCCCATGTCAAGCACCATGGGCTGGCTAATCAGTGCCCATCTCCAAGTGCTTATCAACCACACAGACTGTGGGGGATGCGGCTTTGATCTGCCTGCCTGTCTAAGCCGAGCACATTTGTGGACTGACACAATGCCACCCGGGAAGGTTTAGAACAGGTGTGTGCAGGCTGTGGGGAGTAGCTCCCAGACCCAGCGATTGTGATTCTTGAACCATGGTCCCTGATTCATCACCAGGGTTGCGAATCGATATAATTTAAGATTTCCTATTTGCAGGGGCCCTGGCTCCGAATCAGTAAGCTAGGCAAGCACACTTAGGTGTTAGGGGTGAGAGGAAGGGAAAAGTCTGAACGAGAAGTCGACATATCTCCACGCATCCTGGCAGGCCTCTAATCCATCCTCGTGAATGCCAGTCCCGAGAGGGAGCTAACACATGAATATTTTAAGAATTTCGGTCTACTATTGATTTGTGGCCTGTCAGTATCCAACTGGTTAATTAAATTTGATGCAAAAACAAAGAATTGGGAGCAAATTCAATGTCTTCGGGCAGGCAGCTAGGATGGACATGGGCAATATTTGAGAAAGAACTCCACTTTTGGGCAGAGGGGAGGGAGGGAGGGGTTCCAGAAAGGTCTTAGTTGTATGTGAAGTCAAGGTCATTTACATGGTCTTGAGAGAAGACATTGGTTTGGAATGATTAAATGTTTATCTGTAGAGAAAATCTGAATTAAGGAAGAGCTGGCCACGTACAAACAAAAGGTTAATTATAATTTGCAACTGTTTTCCAGAAAGAGTTAAATTTTTTATTTTTTCAAAAACATTTGTTCTCTCTTTTTGTTCGTTTTCCACAGGGCCCCCCTTACTGTACCCCCTGCCAAAGCTCTAGACTGTAACCACTGGGAGAATATTGTTCTAATCCTTTGGTCTCTGTTGAGCCAAAACTCCAAAGGAAGCACGCACCTTCCTTCAGCAGGTAGGTGTGCATGCATTCTTTCATTCTTCCCTGATGTATACAGTTTATCCCTTGGTTTCTTTGTAGACTATTTTAAGCTTAAAACCATCAATAGTAACACAAATTCAATTTGACTGAAAGCTACAGTGTTCCATAACCTGCCTCTTTCCTCCTTTCTAACCAGGGCTGGCTTTCACGACAACAGTTCTTAGAATCACATACTTCACTTTGAGTCCCGACTCCTTCCAAAAGGGGAATGCTCCTTTGATGAAACAGCACCATACCCCTGCCCCCACCATAAGGAAACAAAAATGTGTTTTTGCAAATAACAGCTTTGTGTGCAGACAGAGGCATGATGTACAAACTTGGCCCTCCAAACAGTGATGGGGGAGGAAACTGTGGGCATTTCTCCCTACAAAGGTGGAAAAGTCCAGTCCTGGGAAGTAAGTTCCTCATTGGGAAGATGATTTCTAAAGGAAAGAAACATGTCTGGCCCTGTAAGACACATGCCTAAAGTGTTCATGGAACTGTGAGGATGGAAGGTTACTTCCTGGGTAGGTCATGCCATGCGATGAAGTTGATAGTGTGAACATTTCTGGGGTTGAGCGGCATCACAGGACAATCTTGGGAACCTGGAAGGCACATCATGTATGCGTCGTTGCTAGTGAGCATCCAGCTGCCCACAGACTCATCATCTGCAGGAGCTGAGGGACCCCCGTTGCCAGCCAGGAAAGTGAGGATTTTATCATTCAGCTTAGCCTTCTGGGGATCCTGAGTGGAGACCCTCACTCCAGTGACTAGTCCTGAGTACCAACTGCAATAAGATAGAAAATACAAATTGGTTTAAACCACTGAGCTTGTGGTATGTTAGATAGCACAAGGAAGCAAACATATCCAGCTGTCCAGAATTAAGGAAGACTATTTCTGTTGTTGTTTGTTTGTGCTTTGCTTTAATTCTGTCTGAACATGCTGTACTGTGTACTTGTCCTGAATCCTCACAGATGTTTGGGGGTCAGTACCCTAACAACATTACTGGGCTGTTTGCGCAGCATTCACACTGTATTAGGTATTGTAAGTAATGTAGGGGTGATCTCAGATATACAGATTAACAGCAAATATTGTGCCATCTTATAGGCGACTTGAGAGCCCCAGGTTTTGGTATCGGTGGATTCTAGAAGCTGCACTCAGAAGACAGGGAGCAGTTTGTGAAGATCTGCTGTTCAACAGATACCTTTCCAATGTCTTGATCATTCTAGCTTCTTTTCCTATTACTATAATCAAACACTAACAAAAGCAACTTCAGGGAGAAAGGGTTTGTTCTGGTTCATCATGGCAAGGAAGACAAAGCAGCAGGAGATTGACATAGTGGATCACATCATATCCACAATCAGGAAGCAGAGAAGGATGAGTGCATGCTTCTGCTAAGTTCTCCTTTTCCAGTTACATCGTCCAGGACCCTAGCCAGGGAATGCTGCCACCTGCAGCGTTAAGTGTTTCTAGTCCAGTTAAGGCAGTCAAGATAATCTCCCCCATAGGTATACCCAGAGGCCCATCTCCCAGGGGATTCTAGATTCTATCAAGTCGATAATTAATATTATCCATGGTTGGGTGGTGGTGGTGCATGCCTTTAATTCTAGCACTTAGGGAGGCAGAGGCAGGTGGATTTTTGTGAGTTTGAGGTCAACCTGGACTACAGAGTGAGTTCTAGAATAGCCAGAGCTGCACAAAGAAACCCTGTCTCAAAAAAAAAAAAGGAAAAAAAGATTAACCATCATAGTATCATAGTCATACCCTACAGTCACTGGAAGGAGACTTGTGCTCTGTGCATCTGGGCCATCTGCCCATCTGACATAACACTCACAGGAAGTGTGATAAAGGGACACCCTTGAGTAAGTTAGGGCTTGGCATGATGTAGGGGATTGCCATGTTAGGATAGAGAGGTCAAGTTCTTAGTGTTCGAACCTAAGTGCTCCCTTAGAGCACCCACAGAGGCAGGTATGCTTGTCCCAGCTTGTCTGCAGCAGAGACAAGTGACTCCATTTAGAAGGCACTGACAAGTGCCATTTTCACACTTAGGTGGGGGCATGGGCATCCCATCCTGGTATAATGAGACTGTTTGAGAGGCCTCACAAGGTGGTGGAAGAGCAGACTAGAAGGCATGGAGATAAACCTGTCTGCTTTCTATGAGGGGAGATACCTCCAAGCCTACACGGCATTCTGCTGGGAGGAGGAAGAGGTCTCTGGTTCATACCCAGTGGGTGAGGAGTAATGGGTACTGCCCATCGAAGGCAAAATGGGGCACTGTGATGATTAAACCTGTCAGTGGGACAGGATCCAGAAATACCTAGGAGGCAAACCTCTGACCGTGTCTGTGAGGGAGTTTCTAAATTGCTTAAACTGAGGAGGGAAAACCTATCTTGGATGGAGGTGCACCATTCCATGTGCTGGGGTTTTAGACTAAATCAAAGGGGGAAAGTCAGCTGAATGCTACCATTCATGTCTCCATTTCCTGAGTGTAGATGTGATAAGATCATCTGCCGCATGCTCTTGCTGCCGGGCCTTACCCGCCATGATGGCCTGTACCCCCAAACTGTGGATAAATGAGCCCTTTCTTCTGTAGCCACCTTTGTCCTGTACTCTGCGAGAGCAACAAGAAAGTTAACAAATTCCACCTCCATCCTGGCATTTGTTTGATTCAGTCATTCATAGTTTCATCCTCTCTGTCAAGGTCAGGCAGGGCTATGGCTTCAAAGAAGAGACTGCCTAGAGTACAGGCAAAGATGGACTGTCAGCATCCCTACAACAGAAGAGAGGAGCTTTTGGAAAGGAGCAGAAACCATGGCGCTAAACACTCAGATGCAACATGAAAGGGGTATTAATTACTTGTTGTAGCATCCTACAGGGAATGCCTGTGTTGACAAGCCAGGTGTGTGGATGAGAGTGTGGGCTGAGGCTAGACCTGACCCAGGTGTGTGGATGACAGTGTGGGCTCTGAGGCTGGACCTGACCCAGGTGTGTGGATGAGAGTGTGTGCTCTGAGGCTGGACCTGACCCAGGTGTGTGGATGAGAGTGTGGGCTCTGAGGCTGGACCTGACCCAGGTGTGTGGATGACAGTGTGGGCTCTGAGGCTGGACCTGACCCAGGTGTGTGGATGAGAGTGTGTGCTCTGAGGCTGGACCTGACTCAGGTGTGTGGATGAGAGCGTGGGCTGAGGCTAGACCTGACCCAGGTGTGTGGATGAGAGCGTGGACTCAGGCTGAACCTGACCCAGGTGTGTGGATGAGAGTGTGGACTCAGGCTGGACCTGACCCAGGTGTGTGGATAAGCATGTGGGCTCTGAGGCTGGACCTGACCCAGGTGTGTGGATGACAGTGTGGACTCAGGCTGAACCTGACCCAGGTGTGTGGATGAGCGTGCAGGCTCTGAAGCTAGACCTGACCCAGGTGTGTGGGTTTCTGAATCTGGACCTAGCCCAGGCCGCGAAACATCTCCGGAAGATTCCTGCCTGCCATTCCCAGAAATGCTGGCAACTTCTGGGTGACAGAGCTAGCAGGTACTCTGCCTGGGTCCAGCCTTTGTGTCTATTGATTCCTGTTTTCAATGTCGGACGGATCTGTCAAATTCACTTTAAATTTTCTAGGTACTTTCTTTTTATTCCAAGTGTGTTTTAGGAAATTATGCTCAATTCTAACTTTATGTATTTCAGATATGTGTCTTTACCTGCATTGTCCAGATATGTGGACACCAGTAAGTACGTTTACTGGTGTCTTGGGGCAGAGACTTCTTTCCTGTTTGTGAGACCTGGTGTAGCACAGACATAGTGGCAACTATTAACAGAGAAGTGATCTTCAGCTGGGCGTTTCCTATGGTCATGTCGGCCAGGTATACGCCCTCCTCATTCCCACACCACCTGTTTTCATCCCTGGTTGTTCCATATGGTAGGATTCCCCCTTCCCCCTCTCTCTGTGGGGTATGTACATGTGGGCGCTGATGTCCATGTGTACCTGCACTTGTAAAGACTTCAAGTGACTGTAGGTGTCTTCCTCTCTCACTCTTCGCTTTATCTCACCGAACCTGGAGCCCATCAGTTCTGGCTGGTCTACATAGCACCTTGCCCAGGTCTATGTAGATTCCTTGTGTCTGTCTACTGAGTCCTGGGACTACAGTGGCTTCCAAGCTTGCCTGGCTTTTAGTATGTCGTGGGAATGTGAACTCTTGTCCTCACACCAGTGTGGCAAGAGCTTTATCCAAGGAGCTATCTTCTCAGCTCCTGGATTCTATTCTTAATAACTAAAACAAAACAAAACATTTTATAGACACGTGTCAGGATAAATGTATAAAAGAAAAATTATTATTCAATTAGGAAAAATACTTTATATCAAATGTTCTTAATTTTTACCTGTAATGTACTTAACTCTTCTAGGCAGCCCATTTAAAATTTGGACAAAATTGCTATTAAATACAGTTAAAATAAGAGCACTGATTGTGGTCCATTCTGTTTTACTTTTTTGGTAAATGTACTTATACTGGGAAGGATAGAAGACAACTTTGAGCTAGTTAATGTAGTAGTAGTATTTTTAATTGTCTATACAGTTCTATATTTTCTCTGTTGTGCAAACTTCCGATTGTGTTTTTAGTGGGATACAGCGTCCATGCCCATAATCGGAGTTCTCACATCCATCTCACATTAGAAGTCCTTGTGCTTTGGAGGGGACACCGGCTCAGAGGCATTTAGGAACGATAGTGAGACAGCTCAGACCAGTGAGATGTGACTGATGCAGATGACCTGAGTAGAGCCAGCTGCCTGCAGCTCCCCTCAGAGTCCATGCTGCCTGGCTGGCTGTGACTGGTCATGTGGAACCCGGTTGTCTGTCTGGTAGAGCTAGTATTTGGTTGCCTTTTCATTTGTGAGAATGTTCTTGGCTTGTGATGGCGTTCTCAAACTTCCTTCTCAATATGTAGAAGGGAACAATCATTAGAGAGAAATCCTCCTGGAATCAAGGTCCTTTGTGGCTCTTTT